TCCCATTGGGCGTTTGATGTGACACTAATCTGAAAATTAAAAGATTAAATAGAAAAGGTGAGACCTTGAGTTCTCGAGTGTTTCTTGCAAGATTCATGCTGTGTAAAATAGTACTGAGGGAAACGTTAGTATCATGATTTTATTGGAAAAGTTAAACCTGGTCACTTTTAATCCACAAAATCACATTTCATTTAGTCTTTCAGGATTAAACCCTGTGCAGGCAACGATTCTGCCAACGAACTATGACCCCAGCCCTTTCCTTTGGTCTTTTTGCATTCTGAAAGCCCTTTGTGATTATTGTTACCTTTTGATAGGCAATTCATATGAGCTTTCTTTTACAATTTCATCTTTGACTTTGAGAGAAAGTCTCAACATGCTTTAAAAAACAAATTTATTATACTTATTTATGTGTGGAGTGTGTGTGTGTGTGTGTGTGTGTGTGTGTGTGTGTCTGCCCTCTAGTGGAGGTCAGAGGACAACTGGTGGGAGTCAGTCCTCTCCTTCCACCATGTTGGTCCTGAGAACTGAACTCTGGTCATCAGACTTGGAGGCAGTTGTCTTCACTCAATGAGTAATCACATGACCCAAAGCACACTTTTTTTAAAAAATAGTTACTTCATGGGCTTTTGGTCTCTATGTTAAGTATGCTTGCTTCATTGTCTTTGGGCATCGTTAACTGATGCTTCTCTTCAACTTGGGACATCTGCAGAATTACAAGGATTTACAGCATCACTGTGAGGTAGACCCTAGCCTAGTGACCATCAGTGCCAGAAAAGTAAATATACTTAGCTCCCAGAGGCAGGGTCCCTTGCTCTCCTTTTTTCTAGTTCCCTGGGCTTAGAACTTTTGTTACTTTGTCTGTGAGAGTTCACTTTGAATGGTATTATTTTCAAGAGGGTAAAGATATAAAATTAAAGTTTAGCCAATAACACTTTCAGGTATTAACAAGTTAACTACAAAAGAAAAAGAAAACCATTGTGCTTTAAATTTTTTTAGTTATATTTATTTATGGGTGTAGGGGGCATGTAGGGCACATGTGTGGAAGTCAGAGGAAACCTTACAAAGTCAGTTCTTCCATCCTACCATGTGGATCCCAGGGATCCACTCAGGTAGTCAGGCTCAAGCCTGACTACCAGCTGAGCTATCTCAACTGCCTGCATCACACTCTTAAGCTGATTCCCCCCAAAAAATTACTATAATTTTGCCTACTGAGAAATATCTAGAAGTGAGCAGTGAGATCGTGGGGAAAGATTTTGATCCATTTCCAATTAGAACATCTCCTTCAAAACTGGCGCACATTCCTGGTATGTCTGAGGGCAGCCACTGCTATAAACCTGCTATGCTGTAAGTGGGAAAGCTGTGGTGGAGAGGAAGCCTGAGTCTATTTTAATTGAATTTATACACGTTCCACGCTGATGATATTGTGAGGGCAAGAATGCAGCCTGGGAATTCCTTCTTGCAGCTGTGCTCGGGATCCCCGTCACACACTGCACAACACAGTTCTCCTCCATCAAAAAAAAAATTTGCCTCCTCAATACACCATGCTGTGGCTAGAAGAGGCAATGAGGTGACTTTGCTGTAGAGCCAGAAGTTGGTGTGACAGTTCCCCATAGCAACTCTTGAGTAGGAAGTTTGCAAAGATCAAAAGGCATCAATGCTATAAAAGAAGATTAAATTCAAGCTGATGCTGTAGCTCAGTGGGTAGAGTGTTTGCTTAGCATGCATGAAGCCTGGGGTTCAATCCCAGCACCACATAAACTACAGATGGTTCATGGTTCTGAGCTTTGGAGGCAGAAAAGTCAGAAGTTCAAGATCATCTTTGGCTACATAGCAAGTGCAAGGCCAGCCTGAGTTATATAAAATTGTTTCTTAAAAATAAATATTTCTTTAAGTGGAGATTTTATTCATGCATGCAACAACACTTAAAACATGGAGCTGTTCACATTCAAGAAAGACAAGCCACTTGTGCAGGTATATATCTGTAATCTCAGCTCTTGGGAGACTGGGGCAAGGGGATCATGAGTTATAGGTTGAGGAGAGACTGAGCTGGGTAGGATGGTGTGTTTCTTTTCTTTTTTCTTTTCTTTTCTTTCTTCTTTTTTTTTTTTGGTTTTTTGAGACCTCTAGGATGGTGGGGTGAAATCTCAGCTACAAGCCATTCTTACAATGTAAGAAATAATTTAAGAGTGGGCAGGTTACTTGATTCAGTGATAAAGGCACCTGCTACTGAGGCTGATCTCGGTTCAACCCCCAGGACCCTCATGGTAGAAGGTAAAAACTTGACTCTTAGAAGTTTTTCTCCTCTGACCTTTATACTCTCTCTCTCTCTCTCGCTCTCTCTCTCTCTCTCTCACACACACACACACACACACACACACACACACACAAATAATAATAATAATAATTATAATTATAATAATTATAATAATAATGCATTTTTCCTTAAAATCTTAAAAAAGAAATAGTTGAGAATCCTCTCCTTGAGCATAACAGTTGTCTTTGTCTTAAGAATGTCACAGTCCAGTATTGCAATTTTGTTCCTATGCATTTGGGTACCATAACTATGTCTAGGGTTTTTACTTTAAATGAGTTTTGGTCGTTGCCTTGATCTTGCGTCTTAACAATTGTTTAACTCTTCCTTGAGTGACTTCACATTCCCGTGACCTCTTTGCTAGCTCTTGGGAAAGAAGCTAGGCTGGGAGACAGCTCAGCAGGGAAAGAGTTTGATTTCTCAGCACCCAAACTCAGAAGGGGTGAATGACAGCCTACGTGGAATGCCAGCACACAGGAAGGTGGCATCAAATCCCCAAAGCAAGCTGGGTAACTGGACTAGCCTAACTACACACACTGCACTGGCTAACTGAATTGTAATTATGGAACTCGATATAACAGTAATACAGCATTTACCATTGAAGACAGTAAAACTGCTCAGCACAATGGCTATCTTCCCTCTTCTCTTCTCCATGTCTGCAGTCAGAGGCATAGTTGACTGCATTTATTCAGGCAGGGTCTGCCTCTGGTGGTATTTTGGCTATAGATGTATTTTTTATGAACAAGTTTTTTTTTCTAGTATTAGCAAAGGCAAAATACCGCAAATGTATTCTTGTGTGCCCTTGAGGGTTTACCCCACACCCAGATGTCCCCTGTGTTAGAGAAGCTAGATTTTTCACAGCCAGACATGCAGGTATCTGAGCTAGATGCCCCCTAACTTTTGACTTTTAATCTGACTTTCATAGACCTTAGTATCATACAGAATTCAGCAAATACTTTATAGTGTGTAGTAGTTGGCTATGATGAAGAATGTATGGTAGGATTCCATCAGTGAAAGAGATGTCCCTCAGTCACTAGTCACCAGGTTTGTTTTTTTGTTTGTTTGGTTGTTTTTGTTTTTTTTTTTCCTTTTACTCTGCCAGGTTGGGTGTGATGGAGCATGCCTCCTTGCTCTCTGCAAAATAATTAGTCTGCAGATTTGCATGCATATAATAGCCCCACTGTAAACACTGAGAGCAGAAGGTATTACAGATAGTACATAAAATCAGACTTTCAATAGCACCCTGGCTGCATCTGAAGCATCCCTTCCCAGGGGGACTTAAATCTATTGTTGCCATAGAGAAAGAAAATGTAAACTGAGCTTCAGTATGTTCCCCTTTCTTTTTTTAACCAGGTTTGTTTCGAAAATTTCCTAAGTTTTGAAATGAATATGAAAATGGAGAAGGAACATCTTTCTCCAATCTGGCCATCCTGAGTCCAAGTGTCTTTTCACCAACAAGTGTGATAGCTAAAGGCTATCCCATGGTGCTGCAATGGATTATGGGACATGGCTTATCCCTCCTGGGCTAGAGTCTAGTGGAACGATTTTTAGTCAGTCTCTTCAAAAGATATTTGTAGATTCTTTGTTGATAGATAATATGTATATTGATTGGAGTTGTTTGGGTTAAAGGAGCAAAAATGAACTTCAACAGAAGAAATTTCTACAGAGTTTATTGGTGTTGGATTGGGGTCACTGAGAACAGGGGCTAAAGAAGAGTCAGAAAGTTATAGAAAATAGGTAATTAGAGTGGAGGGCAGGAGATCCTAGACAGAACCAAAGAGAACCCTTTGATGCCATCCCTTGAGGTTGGGGGTAGGGACTGGGGGAACTTGGCTCAGGAGAAAAGGCTAAAAGGCAAACAAAAATAGCTTGTCTATGCATCTACGCCATCATCAGAGAGGAGCAGGCATGTCTGCCTCAGTGTCCAACCAAGATGAGTCCTTCCTGTAGAGCAGGGAAGAGTGATTCCCTGAGACAAAATAAACAGGCTTTGCCAGATGAGGGGAAAATGGATGGGTGTGCTATTAACCATCACCAAAGCAAACTAAAATGCACATGCCAAACGCTCACTTTAAAATAAAAATGTACATTGAGTAGGATACTTTTCCTTACCATGATGCCATGTGTGAGAAAAACAACGAAGTTTAGTTGGGCTCAGGGTTGCTTGAGTACTGTTTGGGGGCCCTGAGACAACGCAAAGCCTCAAGGAAGACAGTGTGTGACTGAACCCAGCTGCTCACTTTCAGGCAGCCATAAAGCAGAAGGAAATTAGAAAGAGCTAAATAGAAATAGAAATAGAAACATCTGCTTCCTCCCACCAGACCCCACCCCCATACTTCCCACCATCTCCCAAGAATGCCATCAAATACAGATCTGTAATGGATTCATCCATTGATTACATTAGAGTTCTCAAGATCAAATCACTTCCCAAAGCCCTCTGAACATTTAAATTGGAGCCAAGTCTTCAGCCACAAGGAGGGAAGCACAAAAAAAAAAAAAATTATCACCATGGATAGCAGAAAGATCAAAAGACCCTTTGGGGCTTCATACAGTGTGATCTCCTTTATATGGGATGTCCAAAGGAAACAAAGCCAAAGAAACAGAACAGAGATAGGTGGCTGCCAAGGTTATAGAAAAAGGCTGATGCTGAAAAGTGGTACCAAGAGGTGCAGGATGAGAGGATAAGGGCATGATATGGGTTAGTGGGACTGCATCTTGCCATGGTTCTTGTCTGGCGAAGCTATTATCCCTCACTGAACTATACATTACATAAAGATGAGTTTTATGGAATGAGAATTAAGTGTAAATCAGCAAATATTTTTAGGAACCAGAGTCAGTAAGAATGTGACTTTTGGAAAACGTCAGTGTCTCAGGTATTAATGCTAGGAAGGTAAGCACTCAACACAAGAGGGAGCCAGGAATGGTGTGACTACACACCTGTGACCCCAACACTGAAGAGGCAGAGGATCCGCAGTTTAAAGCTAGCCTTGGCTATGTAGCAGACTCTAGGCCAACCTGAGGTACATGAGACCTTTCCTGTAAAAAGGAAGAGGGAAAGTTGTGGTAGGAAGAAGTTATACTCAACCATCCCATTTTGCCTGTGTGTCTTCCTTTCTTTGATCTGTGTAATCACCTCTGTCATATATTTGAAGTAATTTGAGGTGAAATAATTTCCTTCCCGAGCTGGAACTGTCTGAAATGCCTACTTTGATATGAAAATAGTACATCTTTATTTGGAATAGTGATTGGTTCTTGGGAGATGTGACAACTGAACACATTTTTCACCGTAGTAAAATATTTTATTCATGGTAGTACCTCATCCATGGCTGATGACAAATGAGCATGCTTGTTTACTTACTGTGCATAAATTGCTATGTTTCTTTAAGACTACTAACTATGAAAACTGACTTTACACTGATCATGAATTACACTTAAATCATGAATATGATATAGGCTGTGGCGCTCAGTTCCCTAATGACTATGAACATTTACAGTAAAGGATGATAAAAGTCATTTTATGTGAGCACTGCTCAGAATGTGCATTCCAGTACCAGCTTGGCAAGCAGCCCATGTTACTCTGGTTTCTTCTTTTGCAGAATGGCTTCACGCCATTATATATGGCAGCCCAGGAGAACCACCTGGAAGTTGTCAGATTTCTTCTGGATAATGGTGCCAGCCAGAGCCTGGCCACAGAGGTGAGACACTTTCTGTTCTTATGAGTTCATGTGTTCAAAAGGCTTTTTGTAAACCTAGAGCTAAGAATTTTCTCACTAGGATTTCAATGGCTCTGGTGTGCTTAACATGGTAACTCTTTCATGAGATGCCCTAGAAACTATTTTAAATCTTTAAGAATTCTCTTATTGCACAGATATTCTTTATCTGCTCAAGTGTCTGGTCTACCCTATAATTATGCTATCATTTTAATTTTTAACCTATTTTAGTAATAATAATTTTTGCCTCTTAATAATCTTGCCTCCAAGGCAACCAGTGTTTTGAAATATCATTTTAGTGAATATTAGCTGTAAATGTGGTTTTTCCCCCAAATTAGTATTAAGCTAATTACAATGGTTGAATATATATATATATTATTTCTAAAGTTGGCTAATTAGATTTAATCTGTACTTCCAAATAAAACCATTATACACATTTAATTACCAAACAACATTGGTGTTATATGTGGAATAATTTCTACATTCTTGAATAGAAAAATTACTTAAAAAATAAAAAGTGACTTAAGCCATGGTGCTGTCTTAGGAAATGTAGGTTTTTGATCTGTCTATGAGCAGCGTCACTGCTGCTTAAGCATGTCACTTAGAATCTGTTGCTAATAGTCAACTGATTCTTGCAAATTCTTCATTTTTAATTCATCAGTGAATTCTAGTAGATAATCTTCCAGCTCACGACAAAGTCACCACTTTGGCCACCACTCTGGTGTGGCTGTTCAGTGGCCCAGGAAGGAATTGTAAGGGACAGGCTATATCCTCATCCAGCTATTGAGGTTATGTCATCCTGTAAAACCGGCAAATGAATGAAGAAACAGTTCATTCAAAAAGGCACATAATGACCAATGGAATGTGAATTTATTAATCAGGGCAAGAAAATCCAATCTTTTAGGCCTTGAGTTGAAAGGGAAAACTGTTGGGGAGAAGGAACCAGAATTTTCCTACAACGTTGTTGAAACTGATGAACAGAGCAACAGGTGCGCTGAGCACCCAGTGGCCTGTTGACAGTTAATGCTTGTTGTTGGCCGTATACCACAGACATAGTAGAGAGTATAAGAATAGTGTACAAGACTCTTTGTGTGATTAGTAACAGTTTCTAAAACCTGAACAGTGCCTAAATATGCCCTGAGGGAGCACCCAGCAAATGTTGGTGTGCCCATCTGACAATATGCTACCCAGCATTATTGGAAAATGAACAAGACTACATGTACTGATGGAATACTGTGTCCACAGTGCAGTCTCATCACTGTCTTGCTCTTCACTTTCGACCCTCCATATAAACTTTTGGGGATTACATCGTGAGAATTTATTGCATTTCTGAGAATATTGTTAAAGCTAGTTAAGAAGCAGTTACTGAGAACTAGATAGATGGCTGAGCGATTGATATCACTTGCTGCTCTTTCAGAGGATTTGGGTTGTGTTGCCAGCACCCACATAGTGTATCACCATTGTCTGTAACTCCAGTTTAGGGAGGGGGAACTGATGCCCTCTTCTGGCCTTTTTGGGCACTGCATGCACATAGTACATAATACACACATTGCCAACAAAGCAGGCTATACACACAAAATAAAAATAAATATATCTTTTTTAAAAGAAACAATAAAGGGGGTAGTATTATATTTGATTAATTTAACTTTGTCTTAGTTTTTGTTTTTTTCTTTCTGTAATAAAGACCATGGCCAAAAGCAAAGTGGGGAGGAGATGGTTTACATCACACCTGTGTCTTTATGTGGGTTGATAAGATCTGATTCCCCACAGAATGTTGATCCTTCAGGTGAATTGCTTCTTTCTATTCTTTTTTTTAAAAATTAGTATTAGAGGCCAAAGAAAATCAATACAAGTAAAATATTTTGTTCATAATCTATTCAAAATGCAATTATTTTCTATTAGCCATCTTTATAGGTGTCCTTTAAATAGTGCTATTAGAGAGGGTAGTTGAAGGATACGTTAAGTTGCAGGTTTTAAAATAGGATTTTTAAATTACTAAGTGATCTGCCAGATTTCCTTTTCTGTTCAATCTTCTTGGTGTTGCTAAGGATCAAACTCTGGGCTGACTCTATGCCAAATACATACTCCACTGCTGAGCTATGCCACGGCCACATTTCTTTCACTGTATGTTCTTAATAAGCAGGACGCACCTGCATCGAGGGCTTGGGTTGTGCTTGTAGAACCTTGTTCTCAGTTCTATGCTCTGCATATGTTTTCTTTTGCAGTTGTTGCTCCCTTTTGTGTTTTACCACTCTGAAGCATGCAGTTAAATTTGCTTATTTTCACCACAAGCAATCATTAAACCCTTGGTGTGCATTGCACCTGCCTCATGACAGTGATGCTATGGCTGATACCCATGAGGGCCAAGCCTTTCTCTCAAGAAGTTTGGCCACATTCCCTTTCTGACTTGACTTTTCTTAAGAATAAACCAAAACCAGAACTGCTACGGTTATAGTGGTGGACAACTCCAATCGGGGTCAATGGATCCTTAATTGCCTTAGGCTTGGATCATGTTCTTATTGGTACTAATCAGATTATCTGCTGTATGTTTTTTATTGCTAAGTACTTCCTGATGCATGGGCTCTGCAATTTACAGTTTGTAGCAGTGAAGATGGAGCTGTTGTTATGACTCCAAACAGATCTAGGCTACTCTTAGTCTGTTGCCTCAAGGTTTTTAAGTGAGGTGCAAAGTTGACTCTTCATATAGCTTTCCTATTATCACCCTCATCTTCAAAAAGAGCATGGAGATCCTGGATAGATGATTCAGTGGTAGGGTGCTTGCTTGGCATGCACTGGGCCTCCAGTTTAATTCACCTGTGCTGTTTCAATCACAAAATACAATGAAAAGAAAAAAGACTAAATTTTCTCTCGAGATTCATTCATCATCTTTGTAGAGATGAGTGTGCTTGGATATTTATCTTTATGGAAATGAATCTT